CCCCCAAAAAAAAAAAAAAAGAAGCAAATATTGTGTCCTGTAGTCTAGCTATACGCAACTCCCGAAACCCCGAAATCAGGAAGGAAGCCTTGCAACTGCGTGGGAGCACTTCCAACTCAAACCCGTACTCCAACTCTGAATTTGGATCAACATCCCAAACCTTGCAACCCTAAACCTAACCCTAAGGGTCCATGTGCCCAAATAGTATTATATACGTTGGCCACAAACTGCCTATATAGGGACTACTTGAAGGCCAAAGTATATCCTGCTTGGGCACCTGCACCCTAAGCCATAGCAGCTGATCCCACAAAGGAAACCATAAATGATCCAGAATTTTAGCTAACCTTTTTCAACGGAAGCGCCAGTTGACTTTAAATCTCCTCGAAGCCTTTTCAAGTACCCTACAGAAAACCCTAAGCCCTAAACCCTAAACCCTACAGAAATCCCTATACCCTAAACCCTAAACCCTGCAGCAAACCCTATGCCTTAAACCCTCAACCCTGCAGAAAACCCTAAGCCCTATACCCTGCAGAAACCCCTTCGCCCAAAGATCACCCTAAACCCTAAACCCTAAACCCTAAACCCTAAACCCTAGACATCAGACCTTACCCCAAGATGCCTAGAAGCCCCAAGCCCCTCAACCTCTGAGAACCCGAAGCCCTCAGTGAAACAAACCCAAACCTTCGGGTTAAGGGCTTAGAGGGTTTAGCGGTTTAGCGGTTTAGGAGTTTAGGGTTCAGGGTTTCGGGTTTATGGTTTAGGGTTCAGGGATTCGGCTTCAGGGGTTTAGGGTTTAGGGTTTCGGGTCTCGGGATTTGGGGTTTAGGGTTTCGGGTCTCGGGATTTCGGGTTTTAGGGTCTCGGGATTTGGGGTTTGGCGTCCGCAAAAGGACTCTTTCAACGAGTCCGTCCGACAGCTGCTTCTGGGCCTTGCACGTACTCGGGGTCTTGGGTTTTTTTAAGGACCTCAGTAGATCGAATTTTCGGGTTTAGGTTTAGGGGTTTCGGGTTTAGGGTTTAGGGTTAAGGGATGGTTACGCGTTCAGGGTTCGGTTTTGGGTCTCTTTGAGGGCCTATGTTCGGTTCAGTACGTCATTATGATTCTCTTATGGCTCCAGGTCAGTGTCAGACGGTACTCCGAGACACCTTAGCCAACTACAGAATGTAAGGGCCGGAAGAATGACCAATCCAATCCCTGTAAATTCCTCGATATAAGTTTTGGCATCTATAAGTCAAGCAGGGTATTGGGGTATATTAGAATACTATAATTACCCTATTGCCCTGCTTTACTTGTCAAATGCCTATGCCAAGACCCTAAACCCTAAACCCTAAACCCTAAACCCTAAACCCTAAACCCTAAACCCTAAACCCTAAACCCTAAACCCTAAATTGTCAAATGCCTATGCCAAGACGACCTGATGCCCAAGGCAGGACACCGCGCTTTGGAAATCCGAAGACCCAGAGTGTTGCAAGGCCGTCTAGGCCTTTTTGGGTTTAGGGTTTAGGGTTTAGGGTTTAGGGTTTAGGGTTTAGGGTTTAGGGTTTAGACGCAATCCCGAACCACCCTTCAATGACATAGTCGCCTTAATAGTTACCTATATTATTTTGGGGGCTCCTTATTTTAATTATGGTATAATGGGCCCCCAAACCTATTCTAATTATTAAGGCCCCTTCAATACCAAACTCCTACAGTCCCAAACCCTAAGCCCAAGACTCAAAACCCCAGCTAAAACCCTGCAACATACCGGTGGTTGTCAAAATTATGGTCCCTTTTGGCGTACCCTAAATGTAGAGAACTACAGACCTGAACCTTGAAGTTGTAGCCCAGAACAGCCACGGTTAGTAAGGGTAGGATTTAGGGTTTAGGGCTCTTCCCTGCAATTTCCTGAGCTTCACAATAAGCCAATCTAGCTTCCTCATTACTAGCCGCATGTAGCCGCTTATCAGCATGTTTCATGTTGTGGTTCGGGGCTCCTGGTTAAAGATGAAACTCGGCCAAGGAATCCCTTTCTTATTAGTTACAGGGAGAATGGGCAACCAAGCTTTTCTGACACATGGGTGCGTAGTTCTCTAGAGTAGGGACCCTTCGATATTGGCGACCCAAAATTGGACCCTTTTTTAGAGAGCTACCTACATAGCAAGCCCATAGACTCCACCCTAAGCCGTAAACACTTAACAAACCCACAGACTCCAAGACATCGAGTACGTATGAATATTCATTCAATTTTCGCATACCACCCTTATACAACTCTGTAAGATCCTTTACTCCCCTGGTCTCTGAGCAACATCAGGCGTCTCAAAAAGCCGCATAAAGCGTACGTCGAAGCCTTCCGTTCAGGAGCCCATATAGGAACCCTGAAAGGGACCCCCTTACCAAGCCAAATCCTATGACCTTACACACTAAACACTCTACCACTCTAGATCCCGTACAGGAGCCCCTAAAGGAATCCCAAACCCCCTTGGCAAAGACCCTAAACCCCTAACTCCTCAGCCCTAAACCCCAACCCGGAGCTCTAAACCCGATACCTTAAAGTCCTAAGCCCTAAACCCAAAACCCCTAAACCCCTAGGTCCTAAACGCTATAAACCATAAACCCCTAAACCCCAAGCCCCTGAGCAAAGCAACTAAGGCTCCTGGACCGGAATGTTGGGTTGCTAACCCGGTTCCTCTTCGACCTGCACGGTCAGGCGGTGTTTAGGGTTTAGGGTTTGGGGGATTGCGAACTGAAAGGGTTTTCTTGTGGTTTAGGGATTAGGGGGTTGAGAACTTAAAGGGTTTTCTTCTGGTTTAGGGTTTAGGGTTTTTTTTGCTTTTTTTTTGAACTTTTGGGAGTTTACTTACCTAGATTCGGCACTCCAGCTGCCCTCTCTTAGACCCGTAAATGCCTGCTACTGGAGGTGATACCACCGTGTTTGACGTGTTGGTAATTAGGTTTGTGTCGGTTTGTTGGGCTTGAAGAGTATGCATTGCTTTTCGGTTCAGGGCGTGCTTTAAAGGACATATGCCTACTGGGTGCCATACATTGTAGCTCGATTTGAATGAATACATACATACATACATACATACATACATACATACATACATACATACATTTTGCCTTTGCGGGCTGTCAGAGGAAGTACGCAGCCTAATTACATGCATACACACGCCACTGCCTGAACGGCAGCGACAAAACATGATGCCAAAAGCCTTCGGGCGCAGAGATCTGAGGCATACTCCCATTCAGAGCAGCCACCCAGCACTGCTGAAGCTTCTCGGGCACCAGCGACCAGTAGGTCGAAGCCACAACTGCTTCATCTATCACCCTACTGGAGAGATCCCAAGCAGTTTCCCAGGAATCTTCCAGGCTGAAAAGAGTGACTTCAGGGGTCCTGTGGCCCTTGGCCATGCGGCCTGTCAATGCCTCCCAATCAATCCTATCAACTTCTGCAGTGAAATCATGCAGAGTCTCAGTCTTAGGGGGCTCACTGTCGGTCTCAGTTCCAGTAGGCCAGGGTGAGAGAGGAAAAGCATCCAGTGCACCGCAAAGAGCCTCGAAAACTGCCGTTGTCCAGTAGTCGCACTCACCGGACTCAAAGACCTGACGAACCTCGGAACCAACGTGCTCCACAACCTCAACCATCTCGGTGAAGTAGAGGGGGTAGTCCGTCAGAACCTTGCGAAGAATGGCCGAGATCTCGCTCAGCTCACTCGGAAGATCTTTCACCAACAAGGCTTCGCAGAGGGCTTTATGAGCTTGCTGGACAACCTCCTCCCAACCACCACTGTCAAACTGGCAGATGGGGTTCTCCTGGGACACCGGCACCGCAAGCGAGAAATCCTCAACAGCAAAGCATCGCCATTGTCTGCTTCCGAGCCCTGGTCCAGGCTTGTCCGTAATGTAGCCATGGGCCAATAAGGTTTCAACGCAAGCTGGTGAGTCCCTGAGGTGGATAGCCAGCTTCGTCCTCGACTAGTATTGATGCCCGCATGCTCTGCACAAAGTCCCCGTCACACACTTCCTGTATCTGGCTCTGCGGCCATGAACTTTGAAGAAATGTGCCCCTAGGGCACCTTTGCTTTTCAGACCTCGCTGGCACATACGGCAGAACCAGGCTCCTACCTCGTTCTCCAGCATGGTCATGGCTGTCATCGCTTTCTTGTAGAGCGCCCACAAGGCGATGTAGACTTTCTGCTCCCTCTGGAAGTCCTCGAGGTCCTTGCGCATGCGTGCTCTAACTCTGGCCTTCACCCAGGCGGCTCGGTCCTTGAAGAGATTCCTCCACTCCGGCCAGCTCGCCTCTGTCTGCTCCGGCCATGGTCCTTTGACCTCGCAGAGCCAAGCAATGTCCTCACGCACAACCGCAAGCCACTTCTGCTCCATCTGCATCATTGCCCACAGGGGTGGCGGTGCTGCTCTCGCCATCGATGCCAGGAGACTCAGCCTGGACTGTCTTGCCAGAGTGGCAAGACGTGGAACTTGCGCAATGATGTGCGTCGCCGGCCCAACCACCTTGTAGAAAGTGTCGCCCTTAA